TTTATTAAACCTAATCAATTTCAAAGTGAGACATTTCACAATTTCAAAGTGTTAATACACTATTGACCAAAGTATATCTACTCAATGTCCAAATAAGGTTAAAAATGAGATAAAAAATAGGGTTCTTCTGATTATGTTGAAAAGTGATAGCACCTTCTTTGGGAATCTCTTTATAGATATATTAGAGATTACGCAGGTAAAAAGTAGGCTTGATGAAATCAGAAAAACATAGTTCTAAAATTTCTAAAGACTTAAAAATGTTGAAACAAAACAACTAAATTGGAAGTCTTTCAAAAGTTGTACGTGGAAAGCCAACTTGTAAGTGGAAAGAAGTCCATGTATCACCAAGGGGTGGGGGTGGGATTGTGAAGTACATTCCTCCACTCCCACATGTAGGGACAGTACTAATACACAGGGCATAGCAAAACTGTACAGTGTCATTGTGAAGGTGAAAAGTTTTCAAAGATAATATTACCCATATTTCTTTTTTTTTAATCCAAATTTCTTTTCCCTCCAGTATGGGATGGGAGAGAAGAACAGAGGGAGGAAAAAAAGAGGGAGAGATAGTGAAAGTGAGTAAGGTACTAATTTAGAGAGAACTATGTGTAACCTGGTTCAAGCCAGTTTAATTTGATTAGCCTCATTTTCTTCAGTTATAAAAGGCTAAGTGCAATACATACCCCAGAAAGATGTGAACATAAATAATGATTATTAGTTTTTAACTAACATTTTTGAGTGTTGTCCATGTGCCAGTTACTGTGCTCAAAGCCCCCTACATGTATACAATTAAAATTATATGAGTTAATGCATACTAAAATACCTGGTAGGATGCCTGACAAATGGTAGGCATTAAACTGTCAATTTGTTTTCAAGTGATATACAAACAGGTATTACAAATAAATACAACTATAGATAAAGCTGAATAGACAAAGAAGCTGTCTTTAGTGAACATATATATTAATACCAGTTAATAGCAGACCTGTAAATTGATAAAGACAACACCGAGTAGTAAGTGTTATTATATTGATAAACACAAAGAAAGAGATGGTGCAGAGGAGGAAATAACCACACAATGTACTCCAGGGTACCACTTTTGTCTTTCCTTCTTCTGCTTCTCTATTTCCTCATCTTTTCCAGTCTCTCATCTATTATCTTAAGAAATGTTCAAAATTAAGAGTGAATGCAATTTTATTATAGAAGGTGAAGGAACATTCAATTTCCATTCCTCTTCTTTCCCATATCAAGTTCCCTTTGCAAAGCTGCTATAAATTGACATAATCAATCATCTTTTAGCTCTTTTTGTCTTTTTAAGTTTAGCACTTATATTGCTTTGTATTATGTTGTGAGTGAAAGCTATACTGGAGATTGTGTATTTGATGTGACATAAGTCAATAACTAAACTGAATTCTTGCTTTATGAGGCAGAAAGTCTCTTTTAATGAATAGGATTAGCTGCTATAAAGAAACTTCAACAAATGAAAACAACCAAAAAGCTGCAAAAAACAAAAACCAATCAAACTTAATGTCTGCACTAGTGATCCTTCAGCTATGACTCTAGCATGAAATGATTTGTTTTAGGCACCTGATAGTTTTCTTGCTATCTACCTGTTCAGAGGAAGCCTGATGTCAAGCAGCGTAACAGAGTTGTCCATCACTGAAGTACTCCTAACATTACATAAAGCAAGGATAAACATGAGAAAGATTCTAAGATTTAACAGCTAAAATGTCCTAGGTGCTCAATTAAATGTGATCTCATACAATATTTGGTTTCAGTCACTCAATTGTGTCTTTGCAACTCCATGAGCTGTAGCCCGTGAGGCTCCTTTGTCTGTGGAATTCTGCTTAAACTGAACTACTTTTAAAACTTTGGTGTGTGAGCCAATGAGTAAGACAATTTATAATATATTCTCAGTACTCCATTTTTTCTCTTTGCTTGTCATCTATCATTTTATTTTAGAGAAAAGAAAAAATCTCAGAACTTCGCCTTAGGCAGGATTGACTTTCTTTCCCTCTGATGCTGTTTTCCTTGATAGCAGAGCAGAGTATGCGGATTTTGTTTGTTTGCTTCCTTGTCTCTCTCTAGACCAGACTAGTTGACTTGCTTTCTGTTTTCATGTTCCTCATCCCTTCACCAATATCACAGCAAGCAGAGTTCTCAGTGCAACTTAGAAATCTTTCGAGAAATGTCGTTTCCAAACTTTAGCTGAAGTAACATTTTTCACATGCAAAGGTATTACTTGGGGAAGCTTGTTAAAAATTCAGGTCTCTGGAAATCAACCCCAGAGATTCTGATTCACTTGATATGGGATAGAATGATGGAATCTAAAATTTTTGTAAGAAAACTGTGAGAGGTCCTTAGCCCCTGGAGAAACATGATTCTAGGCTGTGGGTAATCCTGGCCTCAGCCTCATTACTTCTAGATAATGGGACATTTCTACTGCTTCTTTAATGGCCTCAGTACCAGGCTACCAGTCTTCCTTTCCTCAAAATGCCCTACCATCTTTGATATCCATTTTGATGAACTTTCTAATACTCTAGTCTGAAAAATGATCAAATCCCTCTTGATTGCAATCTTTAAAAGTTATATATCAGATTTTGGCACTAGTTTGAATTGTGTCAACATTTTACATTTTTATTTTTGAAAATATCTTCTTGATGTAAAAACACTTTATCCTAATTTTCTCACTTCTTAATTCGAATAAACTTGTCAAAGTTACTCCCATTTGTCAATAAGGTCTTCAGTCTTTCAAACTGCCCTTATTTATCCAATTAATCATGATAATCAAAACCTCCAATTATTCAATACATACTGTGCATTAGGCCCCGTACTCATAATTTGACATCATTTTTCAAAGTCCTGTGAGGCCATAATTACATTTTACAATGTAAATGAGGCTCAAGGAGATAAAGCAATATAACCAAGGATACATTGCTTGTAAATACTGACTGAAACAGCTTTCTTACTCAACTTAGATAAAATGGTCAAGACATAAAGTTTTCTTGGTTGTAGTCGACTTTCCATGGTACTCATCCATTCTTGCCTATATATACTTACTTAACTCTGCCTTTTATCTGGAATGCTTTATAAAACCAATGAATAAATCAAACTTCATATTTTTTGTATTTGAAAACTCTCCTGGTTTTCCTTCCACTTAGCACTTGTTATAGACTGTCTTCTGTGTTATTTATATATGTGTTTCCCCTCAACCAGATTGTGAACTCCTCGGACAAGAATCAGGATGTGGTAGGAAGAGCTCTCTCTATGGAGCTGGGTAGACCTCGCTACAAATCATAGTTCCAATGCTTGACCAAATGATCTTGACAAGATCCATCATCTCTACTCCTTAGTTTATTATCCATCAGAATGAATATTACCTATCACACAGGGTCATGGTGCTGATTAAATAATGAATGGTTCATATTCGATGTATCTGGAATAGCACCTTGAATATAGCTGGCACGATAAATTCTGAACTATAAGTTACACTGATTCCCCTCTTTAACCTATGCCCCCCACAATACTAATCAGCAAAAAGGAGGTCACATTTATTACATACACTAGAAATACAGGAGAAAATTAGGCCAGAACAGGATCTGTAGAAACAGCTACTTGTTGTTGATATGGTTTGAGAAAAAAAGTACATTTCAAGCTTAATCCTTAGAAGGATATGTCTGTTTAAATTAGCCTTGACATATTTGCACAATACTTCCCAAATTAAAAAAAAATGACAAATAAAGTTGAGGAAAATCTTCAATTTAATCACATCTTATTCAACATATTTAACTGAGTCAATAAGAACTAGAGGACTTATGATTAACTTCTATAGTCATAGCTTTTTTCCAACAAAATTAATATGTATGCATAAATCTATTATACCACAGTGTCAATCACATCTCTATAGGAATTTCAAATGTTTTCCCATAAGACAGTATGTGATAATACTTGCAAAAGCCATCCCAGGGTATCTCATCAAAGTTTCAAAATGGAGTTAATCATTTTGGGCTAAATAACATAGAGAATTAACTATTTCCTAAACCATAAACTGAATACTTGAGAAGGCCTTATTAAACCACTGACAATTTTATATAAAATATATTATACATGGGTAGTTTTATTTGCTAGTTATGTGAGCTTTGTATGTTTACTATATCTGAAATTTTTCTTAAAAATATGTCATTTGGTCTTGCTTTATTACCTTTATTTTCCAAGTAAAATGGATAGAGTTATTTGTTATAAATGTATTATATGATTAACACAGCTATAAGTGAACATGGTTAATTGGCCTTCATGGGACTTTTCCTCAGTCAGGCAGCTAACTCAGATTGACTCTCCAAAACATATTGTTTCTCAATGCCAGATTCAATTTCTTCAGAAGGTTGCTAGTGTGTATAAGGGCTCTGCCCCTCTTTTCTGAACATTTTGTGTCTTACAAGGTTGTGACACTATGCCAGATTATTTTTATCTTGTTATCATGGAACAAAACCCAGTGAAAGCCTGAAGCCAATATGACACATTGTTATATGATTGTTCAAGGGCAGACCGATACGCAGTTTCATTAAGGGACAGCCTTTCAATGTCAAGGGACCAAAGGGTTTGATAACACTGGAGTTCTCTGGTAGTCCAGAAAGAAAAATGTGGCCAGTACTCCATCACCATTTGAGAAGAGAAGTCTTAGTGTTTGCTGTTGGCATGGCTTATAAGAGAGATCTAATTCTAGAGATTATTCAGATCAGCAACAGTTTGTTTTCAAGGCTAACCTTCAGGTTCCTCTCTCTTTAAACTTAAGTGATGGGAACAGGCAAGGCGTATTTTAACGAGGCAAGATATTTGTATTTTAGGGTATGAATGGTCAGGGGCTATATGAAAGGTTAGAATATAACCTTATATTCTAAGGTTAACGTTGAAATTACATGGGTTGCATTTTTAAACATAGGTATAGCTAAAAACTAGATCAACAATGAAGACACATAACATAGAAATAATAACTCTGACAACTTTACCCAAATATATGCCTCAGTTCTGTAAGTTCTTTTTCTTTGATCTGCAGGTCATCTTCTAATCTTTCTATTACAATAACATAAGATTCACTGACTTTCTTCTTCCATTCATCTAGTAAAGAAAAACAAAAAGGGACTGATTCATAGCTGTGCTTTGCAAAATGTAGACACAGCTCATAACACACAAGTGATTAAAACTCTGTTCTTACTCTGAATTAAACAATACTTAATTTAAATTACCGATTGAGCTTAAAATGCAGATGTTTATATTTAAAAGGCAATCATATAGAATTGTAGTAATTAAAAACCCATTTGATACTGGATAATATATTTACATAGAAGAATATATTTGACTTATTTCATTTGATTTTATTGCATTATAATTATAGCAATCTCTAGTTGCTAGACAAGAGTCTTTAGGTTTTAAGTACTAGATACTTAAGATGTAATCCTAAAATCCCTATATTCAACAGTATTCCAAATTTTTTTCTATAGCATTATACCTAGGAACTAAAACACTATAGTATTATAAGAAATTTTGTGATTTTTTCTAAAGATCTTTCAGAGACAAAATAATTTGATAATTATTAACACAGATAATCTTAACACTTTTGCATAAATCTTGTTTGTCCTCTTGCAAAAATTAGCAGATATTCCAGTGAAATGTGAACTATATATAACACCTACTGAATTATATTACATTTAAAGATATAGGAATAATTACCAGTACAAGTTTGCGTTGGTCTGGATTTATAATTTCCCATTTGTTAGAAGTTTCTTCTTTTCCCCAGCGCAGTTCCTCAGGTTGCAAGATTCCAAGTTTAAGTGCAGTGACAGTCCAGCTGAAAAATACTTTGATAGTCTGGCTAAAAATAAGCTGACTGCCAAATGGAATGCCATGCAACAATGACAAAGAACAAAATAGTTTGTGGTTTCAAGGGTGAAATCCTGAAAGGAATTAATCAGTCTATTTAAAAGAGCTATAGCAAAGATAAAGAGTAAATGTTTCCATATGATTATCTGCCTCCATCCATTGATTATCTACCCATATGTACTTTGATGGGCATTTCTTTTAATCTAGAAAGTCATTCTGTTACATCCGAGTTTCAGGAAGAGCTATTAAAACCACCTAGATTGTCTTTCAGGATCATTTTCTCCTAGGCCAAAGTAAAGGTTGTTGGAAAATGGTGACTCATGATAGAATTTGTCTCAATAGAATATAAATAATGGAAATCAACATCCTATGGCATGTGACTAATAGAAATGAATGTGAATTTGGCCTACAGCAGAGCTACAAAATTATTTTTCCAGGAAAAAATTCTCAACATAGACTATGATTAATTTATATCACTTGTTGATTATATTGACCATGAGTCTCAGATAAGGCTCTAAGACAGTGATTTCTACAAACAGCAATTCATAACATAACAATGACAAGAACAATAAGATTACAGATAATAAGATGGAACCCTTAGCGTGCCAGACACTAGTCTAAGTGTTTCATATGCATTTTGTCATTTATACCTTACACAATCCTGCAAGGTGTATAGTATTCTCATCTTATAGATGAGAAAATCCAGATTTGCTAGCAGGTAGAGGAATCTGAAATCAATTCTGAGTCTATATGATTCTAAAGTCCAAGTTAGATATTACACTTCACAGCAGCATTTCTCCTTGTACATGCATATTTCTATTGATATAAATGAACTCAGGGTATGATGGAGAATAAATGGAAAACCCAGAGATTTTCAACTATATATTTCTTTTGGATAATGTAATTATTTATACCTAGAATACACACACGTCAATCTTGAAATCCTCCTCTAGAGGCTATACTTTCAATGTAATGCACATGAATTTCCTATTTATTAAAGTTGAATGTTCAAATAACTGCTTCTTTTTGAAGCAACTGCTTAGGCAAATTAATCATTTCCCACAACTTTTTCTCAGCAAAGGTAATCTAAGTTCCAGAGGGACGGTCTCTATACTGATCAGATATAGTTAAAAAGTCGGTATCTAAACTTATGGACATCTCTGTCCCCTGGATACAATTCTCCTGATTTCTCCTCCCTCAGTATATGCTGCCAGGGCCATTGATTGTCTGCTACACTGTGGTGGCCTCTGGTTACTTGATCCACGCACTCGGCATTTTCCTTGTTTGAGGACTTCAACTATATCAGCTTTCAGAACTTGTGTGATGCCCATTCCTTTAGGTCAGAAAGTCCTTGCTTTCCCCAGACATGCTCTTCTCAGGCTCACTGGCCTAGGCACCTGACTTCCTAAATGCTTGGTACTGGAGACCAAGCATTCAGTCCCATCCTGAAGTACTAAAGACCAAACTAGATAGTCTTTTGAAAGAAGCTGGCAATCTCCCAGAGCTACACCTTGGGAAGTAACATACAAGTTCCCTTCTCTCAGATTTCCATGGTTTTCATACCTTGAATCAAGAGGAACAGGGATAGGGGCCATGGCTTTTAACTTTCTTGAGGACATCTAAATCTGTTTTTTCCCGATCTTCTTTCTTATTTCTTTCTCCACTATTTCAAATCTTATACCTCTGTGTATAAGTGGGTGTGCATTGCCTCTACCAATGAAGGAAAAGCTAATTCTAATATCATCTTACACTGTCTTTTCAAATTCCCCTTTGGTACACAAATTTAATGCATTGATTTTTAGGATTTTTCCTTTTAATTTTTGCAAATATTTTTATTATCTCAGAAAGCTTAGCTCTTACAAATGAAAGCTTTGACTTTCAAAGCTACAATTTTTGCAATAGGTTTTAAAATCCAATCAACAACTCAATTGAATTTTTCTACACCCTGAGGCAATAAATTTTGCTAAAAATGGTGAAAATGATAATCTCAATACCTAAAGTATTAAATGTTATTGAATTTCCTGCTTCCAAAGGAACTACCTATTAGCTCTTTTGTGACTGTGAGTCAAGGTCATGGGTTGACGCTAATACAGGTGCCTTCAGGGACATGGAGAAAAGGCTGGAATAAGTAAATGATCCAGGATAACAATCCTGCTTTTCTTTCCTAAGGAATCCTGGAGGGAATCCACACAGAAGCAGGAAATATTTCCTCCATTGCACTGTATACCTCTGTAAAAATTACTTCTTTTTACCTTGAGTTGATAACATGCTCTAAATTGAACTCTACTCTTCCCAGATCTGAGATTTTCAGAAGTGCAGAATGTCAAATATTATCAAAAACAAAACCCAATTAAAAAAATGACTTTAGTCATTTTTCTCAACTTCTCAAACTTTAGTGACAGTAAACACTACCTGAGAAGCTTTGTGAAAACAGAAACCAGGCCTCTTTACCCAGATACTCTGATGCAGTAGATCAGGAGTAGGGCTTCAAATCTAATTTTAATAGGCATCCCTAGTGATTCTAAAGAAGATGCTTACTTGAAGTTTTGAGGAGCGCTATTTTAAGATGGCTTAAAGTGAGATGCATACTCACCAGGAATTTTCTGAGTCTCTGAATTCCATGTATGGGAAAAGAGGAGAGAAAATTGAGATAAAGACAAAAAGAAGATTGTTTCAGATTTTCAGTAGGTTCTATCCAATAGTAATCACTGAGGCAATATGTGATTTGCTTATACATCTATAGACCCGTGGGCTTCCCAGGTGGTGCTAGTGGTAAAGAACCTGTCTGCCAATGCAGGAGAAATAAGAGAAGCAGGTTCAATCCCTGGGTCAGGACAATCCCCTGGAGGAGGTCATGGCAACTCATCCTAGTATTCTTGCCTGGAGAATGCCAAAGATGGAGGAGCCTGGTGGGTTACGGTCCATAGGGCCGCAAAAAGTCGGACACAACTAAAGCAACTTAGCACATACACATGCAAATAGTCCTGTACTGTAAAACTGAATCACAAAAGTGGAAACAACCAAGATGCATTTTACAGGTGAATAAACAAATGTGCATGTACATTCATACAATGCAAACTTATCCAGCAATTAAAGAAAGGAGCTACCAAGCCAAGAAAAGTCATGGAATAACTTTAAATGAGTATTGCTAATTAAAAGAGTCAGTCAGATAAGGCTGTACACTACATGATTCCAACTACATTTTGGGAAAGGCAAAACTATGGAGACAGTAAAAAGATAAGTGGTTGCCAGGGGAGCAGTGAGAAGGGGAGGGAGGAACAGGTGGAACACAGGGAACCTTGAGGGCAGTGAAATTATTCTGCATGATATTCTAATGGTAAATATATGCCATTATACATTTGGAAGAAACCACAGAACTATAAAATAGTAATGCAAACTCTGAATTTTAGTTAATAATGTATCAATAACAGTTCATCAATGATAACAAATGTACCAAACTAATTTGATATATTAATAATAGGGGAAACTGTTCTGGGGGAAAGGAAAGAATGAGTATATGGAAACTCAATACTTTCTGCTCTTCCAGGCATCTTTTCTGACCACACTGCAGTAAGATTAGATCTCAATTACAGGAAAAAAATTATTAAAAATTCAAACATATGGAGGCTAAACAACACGCTTCTGAATAACCAACAAATCATAGAAGAAATCAAAAAAGAAATCAAAATATGCATAGAAATGAATGAAAATGAAAACACAACAGCCCAAAACCTATGGGACACTGTAAAAGCAGTGCTAAGGGGAAGATTCATAGCATTACAGGGCTACCTCAAGAAATAAGAAAAAAGTCAAATAAATAACCTAACTCTACACCTAAATCAACTAGAGAAGGAAGAAATGAAGAACCCCAGGGTTAGTAGAAGGAAAGAAATCTTAAAAATTAGGGCAGAAATAAATGCAAAAGAAACTAAAGAGACCATAGCAAAAATCAACAAAGCTAAAAGCTGTTTTTTTGAAAAAATAAACAAAATTGACAAACTATTAGCAAGACTCATTAAGAAACAAAGGGAGAAGAACCAAATTAACAAAATTAGAAACGAAAATGGAGAGATCACAACAGACAACACTGAAATACAAAGGATCATAAGAGACTACTACCAGCAGCTCTATGCCAATAAAATGGACAACTTGGAAGAAATGGACAACTTGGAATAAATGGACAAGTTCTTAGAGAAGTATAACTTTCCAAAACTGAACCAGGAAGAAATAGAAGATCT